ATTTTTGTTTTGGTCCTCGGTGCTCTTCAGCTTTGTACTTGTTTTGGCTTTCAAACGTTTTTGATCTGAGCGTCACTGGTTGGTCTTGTGTGGACGAGACGCACGTCTGGCGTATTGAATTTTAAGCCTAGTACCTTCTGCTAGCTATTATTCGTGTGTTTCTTTGTCCTATATGTATTCCCATTTATTTGTATTGTGGTCCTGTCATGTGATGTTGTCGTTTTGGTGTTGTGTTTGACGTTGCCATAAAAGCGGGAGGTTTGGCATGCCACAAAACCAGGTTCAACCCACCATTTTTTTCTTAAAATGTCCTGTACCAAGCCAGGAAAATGGCCATTGTTATATTATAGTTCGTTTCTGTGTGTGTTACATTTTAATGTTGTTTTTTTGTTGTGTCGTTGTTCTCCTCTTATATTTGATGCGTTTCCCTCAGTTTTAGTTTGTAACCCGGATTTGTTTATATCTCTATCGATTTATGAGTTTCGAACAGCGGTATACTACTGTTGCCTTTATTTGTATCATATTTATCGTTTGTGTTTCATATTTACTGTATGAAGAAATCCGTTAGGCAACCAGAGCCGGCTGATAGATACTTGCCTCGAATTTTGTTCAATCAAAACATATATCCATTTACAGTTGGGTACATGTTTAATAGTAGAAAAAGCGGGACAAGTGTGTGTGGTTAACGCTGCAATAAAAATAACACACATTTTGACAAAATTTAATAAAGACCAAAGAATGGAAGCTAGTCATTGTCTGTGAACGCTAGTTCGACCTTTCTTTTGCCACTAAGATCCCATTGTTTGAGAACAGCTTCTGCGTTTACTTGCCCGACATTGTCCGTACGATGAACGTGAAACATGGCCAAACAACATAATCTGTGCTTGGTCGAAATTGTTCAGAACCTTTTCGCGGGAAATAAATAATTGCTGAAACAAATGCTGGTTTACTGGCGATAGTAATCAGATAGAGAGTTCGATTAACGTAGTTGAAATAAAAGTACACAAGCTTAACGTCAACATTTATTACTATTCGAAGTATGTATTACTTAATTGTTGAATGAAATGAAAATGTAAGGATGTTTTCTACCCCTGCATGCCCAAACTTTTTCCATTTTCTTTTTTTTTCTCTTATTATTTTTTTTTTGGCCAAAAATTCAGACGAGGCAACTGCCTCGTCTGCCTCATCGGTAGTTACGGCCCTGAGGGCTAAGATTCTGTATGTAATGTTTACTTACGGCGAGACTTTCGGGTTTGAAAAAATGACAGATCTTTTCATATACAAGTAATTGGAACTTTATTGACCTTATCATATATTTCTGATAGTTTTCCCCACCATTTCACATATTCTCAAGCCGGAAAAAGTGACCTATTCCAGCGGCACGTCCTATCCTCTTGTAATAGGAAGTGCCCCCTCCCCCCACCCCTCCCCGTATTTGCCTTGCAGGTAGCGAAGAATTACATGGATGATGTTATCTATGTATATTGATCGGCTATTCTATTGAAACAAACACAAAAATAGGAATTATATGCTAAAACAATAACAAGATAAAAATGTATTGTTATATTTATGGAAAATGGCAAAGGAGTCCGAAAAAAGAGGACAAGAAGTCATAGCTAGAAAAAAGGCTAAAATAAAAGAAAAGATTGGGAAAATAGAAATAAGATGAAGAATGAAAATCCAGCACCACAGAAAAATATCACAAAGCCTTCAAAAGAAAACAGATCAAATCCTGAAAGAAAAAAACCCCAGACCAAACAAACCTATCGTTTCCGCTTTACACTCTGTATCAGTATAAACTTTATGATATCAAATAATTTAATTTTTAACGAATAAACATTTTTTTATTTGAATAAGTTAACATTTTATTTGCTATTTTTGAAATGGCTTCTGTGTGTTTTACTATCCTTATTATATTCCTAACTTTGATCCGAAGGTTTGTGCCCATGTGTTGTATGTGTGGCGACGTTTATTATTCGATGTTTATTTACTTATAGCCCTACGTCACGGGTAGTAACGTCGTCATATCGTGGAGCGTTCAGTACAGTGTTTTTGTCATAGTTTGGTCCAGTTGGTATTGATTTGGGTGAGTGTTTTTTTTTTTAAATAACAAACAATGACAAAATGTAAACATTGTATTTTCCTAAATGACGCTATGCCGATTTATCTCGGCTGGTAAATAGCTTTGTGACATAGCTATTATATCTAATATTGCAAACCAAATGAAAGGTATTTAAACTTTTGTTTGTTCTATTGTCTCATTGAATAAATACAATAGCTATTGTTCTCTGTGTAGTTTATTTACTGGGACCTTTAAATTTCTTCTAAGAGAAATCCATCACTCATTGATTAATTTAACTGAGTAAAAAAATGATCTTCTAAGTTGATGAAAATACATATATATTAACTCGCAAACTGCATATGATGTTGTAATCATTCAATATCAATAATATATTTTCAATCTGTTCAGTGTAAACACTGATTCAAACATTAAAAGTTGATTTCTGACAAAATTTTCAATATTGTTCCTATTGAAATTTGTCATTTTGTGTTTTAGACAAATAAAAACTCGAAAATGACGATGCTTAGATTTTGGAAGGCCTTCTTATATAAATGTATTCTATAACTAAACAAACACAAAAAAAATTGCAAATTTCAATAGGAACAATTTTTTGTCAGAAATCAAATTATTATGATTAATTCAGTGTTAAGTAAGTCATGGTTTGGTCCATGTCCGACATGGTTCAGAACCATGGACACTAAGCAGGAAAACTGCCAATCCTAGTGTCAGTTAAGATTGGAGTCGAACGCCACGTGCAGGGTTCAAACTAACAACCTAAGTGCATACAGTAGATGAACTACTTTGACCACTAGGCTACCGAGGCCACAGAAAAAGACACTAAAACATTTAGTGTTTTGAAGAAATACAGCCATCCCAATAAACAAAATAAAATTGATGAACAGACAAATAACAGTTCACAAAACGTCACACAGAAAATTAAAGATTACTTTAACATTTTTTTTAACCTTTCACCTTTCTTGATAATTATTGACAAACATTCTTATAAAAATTCATATAACAGTGAGAAAATCATTATTGCGAACCAAATGATACTTTTCAACAGATTCAATTGAAAGTTACCTGTCGATTTAAACTTTTGTAAGTTCTTTTGTCCCATCTAATAAATACAATAGCTATTGTTCTCTGTACAGTTTATTCACTGGGACCTTTAAATTTGTTCCAAGAGAAATCTATCACTCATTGATTAATTTACCTGAGTTAAAAAATGATCTTCTAAATTGATGAAAATACATATATTATTACTCACAGAACTGCATGTGATGTTGTATTATTCTTCAATTTAAATAATATATTTTCAATGTAACACTGATTTAATCATAAAAATTAGATTTCTGACAAAAAATTTATCATTGTTCCTATTGAAATTTGCAATTTTTGTTTGTTTGTTTAGTTATAGCATACATTTAAGAAGGCCTTAATTTAAACATCGTCATTTTTTAGTTTTTATTTGTGAAAACACACAAAAAAACAAATTTCAATAGGAACAATGTTGAAAATTTTGTCAGAGATCAACTTTTAATTTTTGAATCAGTGTTAATTATATTGAACAAATTGAAAATGTATTACTGATATTGAATAAATACAACATCACATGCAGTTTTGTGAGTCCTTATTTAGTATTGGTACATGCATTTTCATCATTGAAAGTTTGATTTTTAGTTCAGGTAAATTAATCAATGAGTGATAGATTCCTCTTAGAAGAAATTTATAGGTCCCAGTGAATAAACTCCGGAGAGAACAATAGCTATTATATTTATTAGATGCCTAATGGGACAAAAGAACTTACAAAAGTTTAAATCGACAGGTAACTTTCAAGTGAATCTGTGGAAAAGTATCATTTGGTTCGCAATAACAGTTCACAAAATGTTACACAGAAAATTAAAGATTACTTTAATTAACATTTCATTTTTAAACCCTTCAACTTCTTTAATAGTTGACAAAAAAGCTCGTGAAAAATCATATAGCAGTGAGAAAATTCATTTACATAAAGATCAAACAAAATAAATTAGATTTTATAAAGTAGTAATACATGATGCAGAAAGCAATTCCAGTTTACTAAGACTTGACATCTAAGTCATAGCCTATCTGCGTGTCTTAAAGTATTATAAGAAGAGAGCTTTCAATGCTTTAATGCCCAAAAAGGACGAGTTTCGGGTTTGAAAAAAAATATTGTACGATTTAGAATAAAGATGGTGGTAGAAAGTAAAATAACAAAAATACCGAACTCCAAGGAAAATTCAAAACGGAAAGTCCCTTATCAAATGGCAAAATCAAAAGCTCAAACACAACAAATTAATGGAAAACAACTGTCCGAACAATTACCTCCAAACCCTACCTTAGCTTGCGTGATATACCCGTTTAACTTAAAAATATATTAGATATTGGGAAGTAAGTGTCTAAACTGTTTTCAAACAAGATATACATGCTGACTTTATGTTTTTATTTATTTTTCCATTTCAAGCAACAGTTAAACAAAGAAAGATTTTCACCTTACTTTAAGTCATTGTTCATGTCTGCATGTCATGACGTAGAAACACGTGTTGATTTTAACTGACTGTTTGTCTAACTTCTTAAATTTGCTTAACTATATTTGCAACGTAAAACGACAGACACAAATGTTCACCATGTCTGTTTTTTTATTCTTCCATATATGATATCCGATAATCCATGATGAAGGTAAATCAACGCTGCATGTGAGAAATTAGACACGCTTTTAATACTTTGATGAAACAGAAGAAAATATGAAAATGGTTTGAACTTGTAGGAGTGATACAAAAATACAGACAATTTACTTATGATAATTAACTTCATAATTACTTTTTACCTTAATTAGTATGCACCGACAAACTGCCCATGACAGAAAACATGACAAAAAAAATTAACAAGTCCCAACGACATTATCGTTGAAAAATGCTAAGGTCCTAGGTTAAATATAACTATATATGGAAATTATCATGGAGGTTTTTTCATCAGAAACGTGTACGCTCATTTTGTTGTTGTTTACGTTACCCGTTACTAAAGGTCACGGTATGATGATAGAACCTGCCATGAGGTCATCTCTATGGAGATTCAATTATCCTGGTGCCGAACCTAATTATAACGACAATGGAGTAAACTGTGGTGGATTTACGGTAAGAATACATTTTTTTCTTCTTTTTTAATTTTTGTTATAAAAAAATGATTCAAATTTATTAAATTTCATTTTCTTTCTCTCGTTCTATGATACATTATATTATGCAATAATTAAACTATTTAAAAAAATATACGTGTACAAAGACTTATATGGATGGAATGAGACGTGGGATATACGTACATTAGACAACAACCCCATAAAACGAAAACGACACTTTTTTTTGCAATAAACAAATACAAATATTAGCATTGTTAATTTACGTCTTGGTAGTTTACCTAACATCTCAATTAAATCATATGTAAAATTTCTTGCATAAGCTAGACATTCTGCTTTTCAGAACCATTCTCTAAATATGAATAAGGAGAGGTGGTATAAATTACCAATGAGACAACTACAACACAAAGACCAAATGACAAAAAAATAAGCAACTATTTTTTAGTTACCGTACGGCCTTCAACAATGAGCAAAACCATATGGTAAGCTACGAAAGGCCACGGTATGAAAGTATGTGAAACAAGTCAAACGAGAATCTTAAGTCTTATTTTCATCACCAGGACTGATTTTACATGCCCTTTCCTGCACCAAATTGTGTATGCTGTTAATGTGTCTAGTATTTCTTTTCTTTAGAATCAACATGAACGTCAGAATGGTCGATGTGGAGTATGTGGTGACCCGTTCCAAGGACCTAGAAATAATGAGGCGGGTGGAAAGTAAGGAATATGTGTTGACTGAGTCTAGATTCGTATGACGGATGATGCATCCTTAACAAGGGACGCTCACCCTGTCGTTGCACATTATCTCTCTCCTTTTAGAGTTCATGCGAATCCCTCGGTGTTTTGCCTCGGGTTAATGCATTCGAAATTGATTTATGACTTTTGAACATCGATATACTACTGTTGCCTTTGATTCATATTTTTTCCTAAATATGAGCAAAAGGAAATGTTGGTTTACTACTTAAACAAAACTAACGAGACAAAAAGTCAATATACATCTAAAATGTTTAACGTGACAAATTACATTAGCGTGATTAAGTCATTGAAAGGCAGAATGATGTCAGTGGTTAAAATTTCAACATTTTTTTACAATGATTATTTTCATATACAAAAAGAGCTTTTTTAAGTCTAATGTTTTATTTTAAATAAATGAAGCCTACTCTGTCGAGGTTATGAATAAATTTACAATTACTACACACTAACATGTTTTTACATATGAATATCCCATTAAATATAATTTCCGTATGAAGTTTTCCTTACATTAAAGTATAAATACAACACAACTGACATATCGCTTACTGTCACAAATCTTATTATAACGTAGATTCCATGCAATAAAAACCTACGACATCATTTTACTGTAACTTACATAAACTAATATACAATTCGCTATAGGTTCTAGAGGTTATTGATAGGCTGCGAAAATAGTTTCGTCAACGTGGTCTATCGAAGTGTAACCAAGGGGAAAATGTCTAATGGCAAATCCCATTCAAGTATGAGTTCAATTTAATTCAATTCAATGTTTTATTAAAGTCTCATCTCTAGCTCAATCGATATTTATAAATTGTAAAACAATACTTCATAAAACGAGAGACATGCTATACAGAATTATAAGAGACTATTAAAATGCATAGATATAGTACAAAAAACAATATAAAATAAAGTACTATTTACAATAGATAAAATTTCTACGTTTTCTTAAAATTAAATAACAAGTTTTGGCACACACACGTATCATATTTACATCTGAGAATAAAAACACTAATTTTTGGCTGTCATCTAAAGTGCTAAAATTTTCATTAAAAGTTTCAGCAACATAATATGAATGGTTTCTAAAATCTTCATAAAGAGGACATCTCATTAAAACTTGCGCTTCGTCTTCAATAAAACCATCACATTTTTGACATATACTATATTTTCATATCTCACAGTTTCAATCCTCACTGGGGCTTCACCACATCTAAATTTGGCAAAAGCAATTCTGCGACTGAGAGGCAAAGCTATTTTACAATATTCTTCGGGTTCAAAATTTTCTTTGAACAATTTGTATTTTCGTAGCTTATTGCCACCTCTACCCAATAGAGATTTATCAGAATTTAAAACAGCACGCCAATTATCGCCATCTGTATCGTGTAATTTTGACATAAACAGTTTTACAACATAATTAATGTCCATATATTCAGGAGATATACAAATAATATAACAATTATCATGCAGTATACATAAAAGATCAGAATAACAGGACAGATTAGATCCCTGAAGAAATCAAAATCAAACTGAGTTATATCGAATATGAGATTAATATAAATAAGCAGATGTGGTATGAGTGCCAAGGAGACAACTATCCATCCAAGTCACAATGTGTAAAAAGTAAACGATTATAGGTCAAAGTACGGCCTTCAACACGGAGCCTTGGCTCACACCGAACAGCAAGCTATAAAGGGTCCAAAAAGACTAGTGTAAAACAATTCAAACAGGACTATGTTATAACTTACTGTTATATCTGGCCTAATAAAATTGAGAATGGAAATGGGGAATGTGTCAAAGAGACAACAACCCGACCATAGAGCAGACAACAGCCGAAGGCCACCAATGGGTCTTCAATGCAGCGAGAAACTCTCGCACCCGGAGGCGTCCTTCAGCTGGCCCCTAAACAAATATGTATACTAGTTCAGTGATAATGGACGTCATACTAAACTCCAAATTATACACAAGAAACTAAAATTAAAAATGATACAAGACTAACAAAGGCCAGAGGCTCCTGACTTGGGACAGGCGCAAAAATGCGGCGGGGTTAAACATGTTTTTTTGAGATCTCAACCCTCCCCCTATACCTCTAGCCAATGTAGAAAAAACAAACGCACAACAGTACGCACAGTAAAACTCAGTTTAAGAGAAGTCCGAGTCCGACGTCAGAATAGGAAACAAAAGAAAATAAACAAAATGACAATAATACATAAATAACAACAGACTACTAGCAGTTACTGACATGCCAGCTCCAGACCTCAATTAAACTGATTGAAAGATTATGTCTTCCTCATATGAATATCAGGCACAATCCCTCCTGTTAGGGGTTTAGTATTATACCATCATAAAATATATGAGAAGAACATAACCCGTGTCATGCCAACAACTGGTTTAAGAATAAATATGTTTAATTCCGATGCAAAGACCCTATAAGTGAATCAATATTAAAGCCAAAATATGCAATCTTTAATGACCTGACAACAGTATCGTAACTATATCCCTTCTTAATAAGTCTGTTTAAAGGTTTTGTTAGCTTTTGAGGTGAAAACTGACATTTTTGTGCTTTGTGAAGAATATTACCATAAAAGATTGGATGTGAAATACCCGAACGTATAAGATGTCTGCATGTTGAGTTATATTTACGAATGATGTCCTTATACCGATGATAAAATTAAGTAAATGTTTTGACTAGTCTATCATATCGAAAACCCTGGTGTAATAATTTTTCAGTAATACATAAATTTCTCTCGCTAAAATCTAATACGTTGTTACATACACGAGCGAATCGTACAAGTTGAGATATATAAACACCATAAGATGGTGACAAGGGAATGTCACCATCTAAAAATGGATAATTAACGATAGGAAATGAAAAATCATCTCTTTTATCATAAATTTTTGTATTAAGCTTCCCGTTAATGATATAGATATCAAGATCGAGGAAAGGACAGTGGTCATTGTTAGTATTAGCTTTATTTATTTTATGCACAGTTAGTCCCCATTGGAATTCCGATAACTTGACGATATACGGAATCTCCAAAGCGAACAAAAATGTTATCAAGTAAAAATTCAAGGGCAGATATAGTATCAAAGCATGTCCAATTGACATAGTTCTTTTGTTTGTTGCTACTAAGACTGTTACGTTTTATGTAGATTCACATGGCGGGTGATGCATGCATAGCAGGAGACGCTTACCCTGCCAACGCAGCCGATCTTGCTCCCTTTAGATTTCATATAAATCCCTTAGTTTTGTTTTTACCTTGATTTTTATCTTCTTAATTGATTTATGTGATTTCAACATCGGTAAGGTACTGTTGCTTATTATTTAAGGATAATCGCATAAGTTTTCTTTCTTTGGAAAACAATTCTCTTTCAAATTATGTTTTCAGGTATGCCAAAGGGATAATCGCCAGAACATACAAGTCAGGACAATATATAAAAGTAGTTTCAGATATAACTGCTAATCATGGTGGATATATAGAGCTTAGACTATGCCCACATGATAACCCAATGATACCTGTCACCCAACAGTGCCTTAATCAGTATATGTTACAGATCAAAGGGGACGGAAGCAGACATTATCTAACAACCAATCAGAAGAGTCATTTTAAAATAAGACACACTGTAAAACTACCCGACTTTGTCACGTGTAGACAATGTGTTTTACAATGGTATTGGAAGGCTGGTTAGTAGGTACTAGGATTATGATTTTTATTTACTAGTAGTTAAAATAATAGACACAAAAACAAAAAAGACATGTGTATTTCAATTACTGATACATGAGTTTGCCGACTTCAAAGAAAAAAAAGTAACAAAGACACGATAATATGTATGTACATATGTACATCTCGTTGTTCATATATGTAACTTTCATAACTGTAAAGATAAAAAAATTGACACGAAAAATGACACTAAGTGCTTCAAATCTAATTCTAGCGTAGATTCCAGCCAAAAGCATAAAACGCTTAATAACGTTTCAATAATTAACCTGAACTGATATCAAATTTAATATTCATGGAAAACAAGATCAACAGGACAGATCAAGTTGATAGACATAAAAATGTGTAGAGGTTACATTGGTTGCATATGCTCTTAAGCATGTAAACGAGCATACAGAATGAAAGGGACACTTTAAATTTATTCTTTGTTCAAGGTGTTTGCTTCCTTTATAACCGTGGTTTCGGTTGAAAAAGGTCGACATTTGATATGTTTTGTGTAAATAAACATAAATGAATCGTTCGGCCCTAAACTATCTTTCGTTCAACTTGAAATTTTACATTTTTGCTAGTTCCTACTTATGTTCGAATATCCCTTTTCAGTCCCTCAATGCACCATAAATATCGCAGACAATAACGAGATTAAATATTTCTGATACACCGGTTTTAATTTCAGGACAACATTCTGGAATAAATCCAATGACTCGCCAGGAATGCAAAGGTTGTGGTAAACAAGAGCAGTTTATTAATTGTGCAGATATAGCAATAACTGACGAGTTTGGTATGTTTCCTTCGGTAACAACAGTGCCAAATTATCAGGTTACTACACCCAACCCAATGTATGATACGTTCATGTTTCAAAGTCAGGGAATGTTTCCAGAATATTTTGACGAATTTAATCCATTCATTACCACTCCTCCATATTTCAATCCTTTCAGCCAACGATTTATGAATAATGGAAGAAATTTTGGACAAAACAATAATAGATTTTTGAATAATAGACGAAATACCGGAAGTAGTAATGGACAATTTGTGAATAGAAATTCTAGAGGACCTGTACGAAATGGTTATTTACAAGCACCAACGATAAACCCAATACGTAGAAATATGAAAAATAATAGAGGATTTCAAAGAAGGAGTTTTCGAAATTCTAGACCCCAAGGAAATATGTTCAATAGAAATAAAATTAGTCCCGATTTTCGAAATCAAAGACGTCCATATAAAAATAGAAGACCTTTAATTTCTAGAAACAACAGACCACACGTCAACATTTATGCAAACGTTGCTCCTCAAAGACATCAAATGAAAACCAAGGCTAATGTTATGCGGAATATAAGACCTATTCAAAATATTCATTCAAAAATTCAAACGATAGATGATTCCGAGCCAGATAATTTGGAAGAAATGAGTGATGACGAAGATAATTTTCTTAGAAACAGCGCATTTTGGTCTGACTTTAACCGCTTGATCAATATGTCCTCTCCTGATACCAAACAAGCTTTGTATGAAATAGCAGAAGATGCGGATGACATTGAAGAGTTCCATAGGAATGTGCAGTTGATGTTGCAGATGCAAACGGCGATGCCGGAAACACAAGCATCCTTGGACACAAAAAGTGAAAGTGATGAATCATTGGATATTGATTGGCTTTTAGCCCAAGCAAAGGATATAGAACTCGATAGTGATGAGAAGAGTTTATTAGGACTAATGAAAGGAGGATCTAGCGAAAGTGCAGAAAAAGGAGATAATGAAGAAGATTTAGCAAGTTATAAATATATATCTAAAGGACATATTCAAAAACATGATTACTTTCCAGATGAAAATAGAATTCTTGACGATTCTGACAGTGGTGATTTTCACGATTCTAATGATGGTGATCGTTATAGTGATAAATCTGTTGACCACTCACTAGAAAGTGAAAATTTTTATTATACAGAGGTAACAGACGAGAGTTCTGATCTTGCACACGCTGATTTAGATAAAGACTATGACAGCGACGACACGAGCAATGAAATGAAAATTGACAATCATATGACACATATGGACAGTGACACTGAAAAACATCTGTCAAATCAACAGAAGCACAAAGAATTATTGGAGCGTGAAATTAAATTATTTCCAGTCGAAATAAATCCGTGGAATGAAAATTCTCTTTACCGAACTGATAATATTGATTATGATGACAAGGACGCCGACGTAGAAGGAGACAAGGCCAAACCATATAATCATCTGCCATTCGATTCACAACACACAACACAAAGCGTTACATTTATGAACACGGTCCCTCGACATAAAATAGAGGTCAATTATTTTCAAAGTGATACACATGATTATACAGATTCTGAAGTTGAGCAAGAAGGTTATAACATAGGTGAAGTTGAAAAGAAATGGGATGATACCCTAGAGGAAAAGGAAAATAATGACTTTGATGACGATTCCTGGTCGCTAGGCACTGTTCCGGACGTTTCGGCATCTACAGTTGTGGTTACTGGTAGACGTAATAGTGTCAGACGTAACGGGGTTGTTCGTAAAAATATGGAAGATGAAATAAACGATGAACCGATTTCCCTGATTAATTCAAAGGAAGAGAATAATGACGAAAACACGGATAAAAGTAGTCACCTTGATGAAAAACAAAAGGTTTCTGAAATAGCACAGAAAAGTCCAAAAGAAGGAGATGAAGAAAATACGATAGACGATATTCAAGGTGAAAATTCAAATAAAGAAATATCCGATAACACGATTATGCCAAATGAAAATAAGGAATCAATAATGTCAGAAATTTCTGCTGACGCTAATAATAAAATGGATGACGCGCCAAATATTAAAACAGGAGAAGATTTCAAATCTTCTATGTTGAATGGAGCAGATGATATTGTTGAAACAACTAATAATGAGATTGGGTTTCAACAACAACATGCTGTGGACGACGTAACATCGCCACCCATGGATATCATTGAAACTGGATTTCAATTAAGACCTTCATATATTGATGATGCATCTAAAATTGGCCAAAATGCTGGAGATTTAAAATCATATTCCGGTCTGGATTACACATATTCCTCTGTTCCTTCACACATCTCAAATAGATTTTCTTCAGCCAGTGGTAGCAGGAGGAGGGGAGTGTATCCACAACGATCTCAATTAGTTAGACACCAAACACTTTCAGGACCAATGCAAGTGATTCAACCACAAGTCCCAAAACCTAATCTATCAGTATTTCGTCAGAAAATTCAAGATACAATATCTAAATCTATGAATCAGAATGAAAACGGTGATATTCCAACAATAACTAAACTAATGCCGTCTTCGAAAGGTTCTAAAAAAGAACTATCGCCTAGTCTTTCCAAACTTGTATTAAAAATGTTTATGAATACAAAATCATCAGCTGAAACTTGTTCAGAACCTCAACAATCAGTTTGCACTCCAGTTACACTGTGGAGTAAATATCAGCAGATTGCCGATTGGTGCACTTCTCTGTGCCAATATGGAAATTGTCCGTCTGCTGTTTGCACTTGCAATTGTCAGGCACCGTCGAATTCAGTAGAACAGAAATTCTGTAGAGCACAAAGTACATACAAGAAACAATCGGGTGAACTCGATCAGTGGTGCCAAAAGTCTTGTTCTGCAGGAGATTGTCCGGAACATTTGTGTGTCTGTTCCTAGAGAGCAATTTACCACTACTCGACTCGTTGCAACTGGCAGACATACTCCAAAATAACGTTTGCAGATTGTTACAGTACATTTTGAGACTAGAAAGTTAACTTATCATTTAAACATTTTCAATAGGAAAGTGCCGGTATTCATTTATTTATCTTTCAGTTCACGAAACAGAGAACGATACTAACAGTATATATAAACATCGAAAAATGTACAAGAAACAATGCTGTTTTAAAGAAATAGGGTCAATTTCCCTATATGTATTTCACACTATGACCACTTTTAAAAAAATCCTTCAAAATTAAGAGTATCACACCTTCATATGTTTGCTTTGAGGTTTTAACAACATTATGTTGTATTTGCAATGGCTCAAAGCAAAAATTTTGATGGATTTCGACAAGGTTTAAGTATATAAATGGTTATCAAGGCCTAAGTCAAACTTTTTGGAAATTTGTTTTCAATGCTCTTCAACTTTGTAACTGCTTTTGGCCTTACAACTGTTTTGATTCGAGAACCCCTGCCGAGTTTTATGTAGACGAAACCCAAGTCTTGCGTCTTGAATTTTAACTCTGGTATCTTTGATGAGATGTTTTCATCAAATTTCGGATTTTGATCCCTCGAGTGAAACAAGTTGAAGGGAAATTGGCCATACTTCTTTGTTTTACCTTTTTGTATTACAAATAGAACCATATTTAATTATGATTATGATTAAACCAAATCATTTCTGCTCTGTTTGTATGTTCTTTTTATATGAACTGATAAAGAGAAAAAAAGACAGCAAACACACGCCTATATAGAACCATTCTTCTCTGTCATTATCATAGAGCAGTAGTACACACAAAATATAATTACACAAATGAGAAAATATGCTGGGGAAATTGAATGTCATGACATGGAGTTTTTATATTGGAAAATCAAAGTCCTATCACTTTTCAATGGTAAAATCTTCTATAATTTTATGTCCTGTTCCTTATTGTAAAACACAGCTGTTACATGCAGACATGATTTTACTGCTTTCGTTTTCTATGTTAAACACTGGTTAATGATGGACTGCCAAGCGCATAATACTTGATTGTTATGCCATGCTAACGATATCAGGTGACTGGGGGACGTCTTTTTCCGACTGTGCATCCGTGTGTTGTCCGTTAGTCAGTCCGTCTCGTTCCAGTTTAAAGGTTTAGTTTAATGTAGTTTACCATGAATTTGTGGTCACATTAACTTGAAATATAGTACATATGATCTTTCGAATGCGGAATTTTTAAAACGTCACAAATAATAGCTGATAAGTCAGAGAATTGGACATATAACACATAAATGGAATAAAATCTAATTTGCGAATGATTTTAAATTAATTTTATCCCTGCTTAGTTAATAGGCGGTGTATAGTGTTTTTATCTCGTTTGTCGGTAGTTCCGATTAAATTTCCGTCGTATTTTCTCCTGAAGGACAATCCAGAGCTTCCTAAAATTAGGTATCAAGCGTCATGCAAACATGCTATACCATGTGATCGTCTGTGTATCATTTATTTATTTATTCTTACAAGTAATAACAATGGCTATGTATAAAGTTCACGTCGCGTTGTTCTCAGGAACAACAAATCAGAGCTCCTTGAAATTTGGTATCAAATTTTGTGACAAATCTATACCATGTGAAGCGTTTTCATGTCCATCGCTTATCAACATCCTGTTTGCCGAATACTTTTATATTCTTATACATAATGGGCATGCATGCCTTTTTCGTTGTATTTTTCACAGGAAATACAAACCAGAACTTTCAGAAATTTAATATCAAGCTTTATGTGAGCATGCGTAACCGTGTGATGCATTTTCACATCCACCGCTTACCAACTTACCGTTTATGTTATTACTGTTTACCTAATACTTATATATTCTCACATATAATATCCATGTATGCAATTTTCGTTGCATGCTTCTCATGAACTACAGATTAGAACTGTCAGACATTTCAACCCTAACTACATCTTGTGATGCTAAATTACAATAGAGATCATCACTATGACACATATAAAACAGTCAGCTGGTTAAATCTCTTTCGAATTGTTTCACATTTCGCCATCCTGTAGCTTTTTATAGCTTATGATACTGGGTTGAATCTGATTATTATTGAAAGCTGTACTATGATTATTCGCCGAGGTTTTAAGATCGAATATGACATGAACTAATTTTTTCTTCAGATTTATAGAACACACACTGGCATGCAAAGTTAAATAAATATATACTTGATTGTAATCTAACGTTCAAGTAACTATTTAAAGGAAAGGTAATGGTAAATGTTTTAATTCTTTCTAGTATGCATTCTTGCTTTCCGAGTCTATAAACCATTTGAAATCGATCAAAATAAGTGTATTTTCACAAAAACGCAACCACAAAATATGACTCAAGCAAGGCTTAGCATATCATTTCATTTCACTGAAAGATTTCTACTAAAACCTTTAACAAAGAGGGAACCAAAAACCTAATGATAAGCGACCGACGAAAAGATGATAAAAAATTATCAAGCATTTTTCTGTATCTATATTCTCATACAGTCAATGCATTGTATTGGACCAACTGTTATTACAGTAAACCTAATACCAATACAGTGATGAGTAAGGCACAATTTAACAAACATACAGCTGAAATAACAAAAGTTTTGCCAGGAGAACAAACATATTCATACATATGATATACATACAAAGAGTCTTTTGAATTTTGTCTATTAGTAAAATACGTATTGATATATTTCGTTAGTTCTTGGCGAAAGCCATGCAGTCAAATATGTAATGATAATCATCGTCAACTTGTCATTAGAAAATGAGCTACAAAACCGGTTGTCCCTTTCTATATTCTGCCACCTACAACGTTTTATTGATAAATTGTATAGTATATACATAGTTGTTAACACAGGCGTAATATATTTGAACACATGTGATAATAATGTTAGTTTTACCCATACCAAATTCCATAGTCTAGGGCTTGTAAATATAAATGATCATTTTCCATGCCTTACAATAGTCACTGAAAACACCTAGCTTATTTTGCAAATCTTGTGACATTTCGACCATTATAACAGTCTCATCGGAATGAAGCATGGCAATCATTTTTTTGTTAAACACAGTTTGGATTTGGCTTAATTTAATTAATGATAAATATTTAACAGAATTTAAATGATGCAGTTTTAAGCAATTATATGTCACCGTCAGCCTTCAACAATGAGCACAACCCATACCGTATAGTCAACTAAAAAAGGTCATTATTTGGCATAAAAAAAACTCATCATAGATACGTGGATTAAAATTTTGTACGCCAGACGCTCGTTTCTTCTACAATGGACTCATCAGTAACGCTCGAATAAAAAAAGTTAAAAAGACCAAATAAAAAAGAAGTTGAGGACTCACAATTCCGGAAGATTTTGTCAAATACAGCTAAAGTAATCCATTCCTGGGGTAAAAAATCCTTGGTATTTCGAAAATTTTAAAGTTTTTTAAGCAGTTAATTTATAATTATGACCATATCAATGATAATTCATGTCATTACAAAAGTTCTGACTACTGGGCTGATGATACCCTCGGGGAGAAAACCTCCATCAGCAGTGGCATCGACCCAATGACTGTAAATAAACTCATCATAGATACCAGGATTAAAATTTTGTGCGCCAGACGCGCGTTTCGTCTACAAAAGACTCATCAGTGACGTTCGAATCAAAAGAGATCAAATAAATTACGGAGTTGAAGAGTATTGAGGACCAAAAATTCCGAAAGGATTAGCCAAATATAGCTAAGATAATCTATTCCTGGGGAAGAAATGCTAAATATTTCGATAAATTTTAAGTTTTTAAAACGCTTGTTTTATAATTATGACCAAAAATAATTAGTATACATATTATACATACAAAGCTTAAGAATAGTCATAAACATCTAAAATAATTTTGCCTGAGGAAGTTGGAACCTTAGTTCTAAAGATTTATCAATTTATAAACGGAAAATTTTTAAAAAATCAAATAAAGAATCATGTCAATGGTAAAGCACTGACTTTTGGGGTAATAATACCCTCAAGTACTTAACAGTCTACAAGCAGCGGTATCGACATAGTGATAGATAAAGAAAATAACACTTTCCAAGCGGTTTTCTGGAATTATCTTATTCATGAATGCTTTGTTTATAAATTTGAAAGCGAGTGATGTATATTCTAAATACTTGACGAGATATATAACTAAAAAACATAAAAACAAAAACAAAAACCCATCTAAGGTCAACTTTGCCTAAGGCAGTTGGAACCTTCGCTTCTAATAATTCTGAATTTATTAACAGAAAATTTAGTAATATATTCAATATTCACAAGATTTAGAGATAAATGCACAAAAATGTTAGGATTACGACTGTGTGAGAATGCGGGCGAGTATTAACAATAGAAACAGATAGATATTTCATATAATTTACTTTTTTCAACTAGATTTTAAAAATCGTGATACAAGAAATATTCGAACCTCTCAAGTCGATATCCTGAACCCCTGTGACCCAAATAGTATCATTTATAGTTAGCTCGACATTCGCCGTGCTAGTAACAGATGTGTATTGTCCAGGATCTCTTACTTGCCATGCCTCCATCACCTTATCTGAATTTTTAAAAATACGATAGCCAACATTGCTTGTAAATGTCGCTATAACAGTCGTTATAAAGTAAAGTCCAGGCACTTCACACATAAATTTTCCAGTTGATCGAAAATTTGATAGATTTTTCACGGCATGTGATTGTTGTATTTCGCTAAACACAATTATTGTTCCTGACGAAACAGTACTTGAAGAAGGAAAGCATCCCATTAGCGCAACTTTTTTATTTTCTTTTAGCAGTGAAACAAGAGTTTCATTCTGCGATCTTTCAACGCGTAAATTGTCATAGTTCTTCTTCGCTATTAAATTTCCAAGTTCAGTTATACGACTTTCGCTATTATTAAATAATTCATACATATTGCTTCGGAGAGTATTATTAAAACTTTCTAATTCAACATCCCGAGCTTTCGATTCCCTCTGTATATTATCTATTTGAAAGCTTGTTATATTATAGAATGAAAGAAAATCTTGATTTCGAGCTAGCTCGTGGCTTTTTAACAAACTAACAGAAGAATCTATCATTTGCACTTTCTTTTGAAATCCTGAAGGTCTTGCAGTCGGTGAATGTTTTGCAAATTATATAAATTAGTTATCTCAGTTTTTAGATCGATCGTCTTTAATTTTGTTTGATTGAGTTCGTGCTGAACTAAACTGAAACCCCTCTCTAATTTTTCGAGTTTGTGCTGTAATATAGAATTATTCGTTTCAAATTTCTTGTTCTTGTCCTCAAGTGTCACAATTTTTTGAATAAGTTCAGATAATGTTTTATTTTCAGATATCCTATTTTCTAAATCAGCGAATCGTTTTTTCAGCTGAGTAGTTAATATATTCAAACTTCTTTCATGGTCGTGGCGTAGTTCGTCCAGTTCATGATTAATGTGTACTTTATCGTCAACTGTCAGGTACTGGTTGCTAGATATCGCGGTTTCAGTAGGATTTTGATCATCCAAAAGAAATCTATAATTCAATGCAACGCATAGAAAAAAACTAGTGAACTTCAACATGACTGATTTAGCTGGAAAAAAATGATTTATACTAAAGAAAGGGTGATTTTTCATTTTAAATATCTGTATGGTAATCATTTTATCTGGTATTTATTTTTAGACGTGAAGAGGACATA